TGCTGTGCCTCCTCGGGGCGATGAGGCCGCCGGGACGCGTGGCTTTTCTCTGAGGAGCCCCCTGCGAGGAGAGCAGCCCCTTCCGTCGGTCGCCTCGAACCGTAGTGCGACCGGCGCTGATGAGGCGACGTGGTGCCGTCGCTCGTGGCCCAAGATGGCGACTGGCTTTCCCGCGCTGCGCTACCGCCTGGCGAGACCCCTCTGAGGGGTGGTTGGCGGCGCTGGTCTGAGGGACGGGTGTTTTGACTGTCATCAGGATAAAGTGTTTCTCGTATCTTAGTTGAATATATTTGTGTATTGCCATGATACCGTCGGTATTTCTGATGACTGTTTTACCCTCTGTGATTCTTCAGGACCTGTCCTTCAAGCAGTGTTGAATGTGTGTTTTATCCCAGTCATAAGGAGTATCAGTCATGAATAGAAGGAAAATTGGAGTTTAAAGCATTTAAGTAGTGAGGGAAGATGGTAGCTAGAGTTTCAGCTCGTTCAGAAATAGCTATGTGTTGTATGAAGCATCCTTGCTTCACGGAAAGCTGAGGTCTGGTCTGCCTCATCCAGCGATAATCGCTTTATGGGAGCCTTTTCACTTCTTGGTAAAAGTAAATGAGCTGGTAGTATCAGATCACTGCAATTCAGTACCGGTTTTTGGATGTGGCTTGTCTTGGCAACCCAACTCTATCACTCATGGTGTGTTTGCTGAAATGTAATCAGTGTGGCTCTCGCTCCCTTGTTTGAGGGTGGGAAAAGGAAAGTTTGCATTGTAGCCCTTGTTTGTGGCTCTGCAGAGGAGTTGCCTGCCTTTCTGCTTTCTCCCTGCTCCTTCTAGGAAAAGCTTAGTGGAGAGAAAAATCATGCTACACAACTGCAAACAGGTAACAAAATCAACCACTGATAAAGGCAAATGTTTGTGGATTGAGGTCCCTTCCCAAGAAGTCAAGATACAGTGATAAGCTCTTTGTTTCCTTCTGTGCTAGCCTACTGAGCAGAACATTTTAGTAAGAAATATGCTTAGGAGAAAGGAAAAAAATTAAATTCAATATTAGTTTTGAAAATGTAAGAACATGAAGGTGAGTTTTTCTAGCCATTGAACAGTCCAAAACTAACAATAATGCATTTTTACTTGTTCTTGGTTTTAATAAGTTTCATCAAGAGAAAGAGGTAAAGTAACACTTAGCAATGGTTGTTAAGCCCTCTGCAGAAACTTATGTCCATGACGACTTAGTTAATGATATAGCTTCTGATCAGTTTTCAGTCAAATGTCTAAGTAAGAATTTAGAACACAGAAAACACCTGCTATTTTAAAACTGCTTTACAGAATTGTGCACAGGACTATGAAATTTGAATGATAAAACTCCAGGGCATGAAACTTAAATGCAACAAATCTAACTGAGTCCTTAGGTAAAATTAAGTGGACGTAGCTGGTGTTTATAATGTTATTTTGGAAATATTGTGCTCAGTTATTTGTATCACTATGGACATCATACATTGTAGCTAATGCTGTTTATTAACAGATACTGCATTTGTCATGGAGTTTTCCTTAATGAAAACTGTATTCTATAACTAACATGTCACTGAAATATGAACATCTTAGAGGATTTAACTGCTGCTTTTCATGAGGTGGACTAAGTGAAGAAATAATAGGAAACGGCTCTAACATTTGTGTTACTGTATTAAGTAAACTAGGTAAATGTAATTAGATGCTTGGTTAATAAGAATTATCATAAGTCATTGGTTTCTGAGAATTGAGTTCGTGTTAAATTGAAAAAATTGAAACCACCTAGATGTAGGTGGTTCTAGAACAAAGATAAGGGGTTGTAGAGAAGGTGAGCAACGTGGTTTTAGTAAAGGCATACTAATTAGGAGGTATACTTCTACCTATCATGAGCATGGCAATATAACCACATCATGAGAAAATATCAACAGATTTTCGAGACTTTGCTAAGCAGGTCTGCTCTTCTGTTTTCTTAAGTAGATGATATAGACTGAATTGGCTTTTGTGATTTGATTTATTGCTGTGTTTTGGTTTTTTTTAAAGGCAATGTAAGTATTTAAGTTCTGAAGAACTCTTCAAGGCACCTTTATAGATCAATGCTGATATTACTTTCCCTTCTGCATGATAATACATTTTACAGGACTAATTGTTTTCTGTGCAGTAAACCCACACGTTAATATTATTTCCTTTAAAGCACGTTTTCTACAAGAGCTGGTATGGAAATAAATTATGTATTACTGAGAAATAATCTTGGATATTGTTTCCTCTTGAAGAAAAATTGTGGAGAATATTAAACAAGTTATACCTGCTCAGGGGCTGTCCTATTTCTTTGTGTCATTAGAATGCTCCTTTAAGATAGGTTGTCTTTGTGCATCAGTTTCCTTGAACCTGGGCATTCAAAGCTGCATTGTAAAAAGCAATTTCCAAAATACTATCTACAGTAACTGTATAAATAACTGAGTTTATACTTAGTCCCACTTCTCTGTAAATGGGATAGACAAAGTCATAAATTTAAAGTGGAGTGCTAAAACTTTGCATTTGCAGGAAGATGGGGAGGAACTCTTAAGTTCACACATCATAGCTAAACTATGCACTATCCTTGGGTAAAACGGTGTGAAAGAACGTTGTCCCTCCAATTTACCTAGAAGCTGTTGGATGACTAGTGACCATGACTGACTTTAAAGCTGTTAGGTTTGGTTTTGTTTTTTTTTTTTTTTGTTCCCCCAAAGTATTGATTTGCATTCCTGTCATGGTACTCTGGTGAGACTTGCTATGTTTCTGGTTCAGAAGTGATACAGGTGCCACTGTGTAAATGATTTGAGTTCAGAAAGAGAATGACAGGGTTGTGACTAGCACAGCTGATAAATGGAAGAATGAAGTGGAAGTTGGATTAATAGATGAATATGGCAAGAATAGGGGTAGGAGTCAATGCTATCATGACATACCAATTTCTGAAAATGATTACAGTCTAATAGAGTAGAAACATGGGGCTTCCAAAGGGCAATATATTGGAGAAAAAGAAAGCTTCGTTCACCACACTATTGAGAATGAGTATAAGAAAACCCAAGATATCTTGCTGCTGACTGTTGAAGGCAGAAGTGCTTATGAGAAAGGAAACACAAGAGAATAAAAGCTTTAGTCTGTCATTGTATATTTTTAAATGTTAGAACAACAGGAAAAGATTAAGGAAAAGATTAAGGAGAAGATGGTAGGAAATGTTTTGAAAACTAACCTGGGTGTCTATGGCTTGTTTGTTTTATTTTAAACAACCAAACAAGAAACCACCACAAAACAAACCTGTTGATTCTTTTTCTGGATTTTGGATCAGATGTGGAAAATAGTGTAGATTTAGGACCTTATAATACATTTTGTTAATTATTAGGATGTTTTTTAGTGATTTATGCTTGCATATAGCTTAAAATTATTTTAAATAACTGTAACTGAAAGACTTTCCAAATCAGCAGAATGTTTATACTGAGAATTACGTTAAATACACATGATGGTATAGAGGCTGTAATTGAGAGTAAAAGAAGTATGGAGAGGGGCACAGAGGACAGTGTTTGAATATGGAGTTTTAGGCATTTTGGCTTAACTGGCTTAAAATCTGCTTGCTGTCTTCAGGCATAATGTACTTTAATGCTCCTTTGTTGGAGTTTCGAGTAGAATGGCTACACTTTTACTTTACAGTGGTGTGTTTGATAACTTTTTAGTAAGCCAATATGAAGCATTGAGCTTACTAAAAATGGCAAATTTACTGATAAACCATGAAGAGGCTTTTAAAGTGTCTTGGTTATAACTGATTTCTTTGGTTTTTTTTTTGAAAGGAGTCTGGAATGGCAGTTTATAATGCTTCATCTAGTATGATATCCTTATCTTGGAACAGGAGACTTCAAAGTATGAAATGTGGACCATTGAGTAAGTTACCTATGTTTTTACATTAAATAACTCCAATTGTCTGTTATATTCTGCATCATTTAATTATTTTTATAAAGGAAAAAAAGTAAAATAGCTAATATGGGCCTTCAGGGTAAGGGGACTCTGCCTTGATTGGTCTCAAAGGACTACAGGATTATGACAGTTTATTATGGGGCTTGATCTAGCTTGAAGTTTACACCTGGTTCTGGTTTGATTGTTTGAAGGACTGTCTCTAACTGCAGCTTTTCTAACAAAGAGCTTTCAACAGGTCAATCTACTGTTGTAGTGATATACCTAAAGATGTGGATTGCTGCCTAGATGCCATGAAATTGCCTATCCTGTATCTCTTCTGTGCTTGGAGGTTTTTTGTTTGTTTCCTTTTTGCTGATGTAATCTATGGATGCGTTTTGTGTGTGTAATCTATGGGTTAGGAGGATGAGACACTCCTAGCCACCAGCCTGTAGTGGTGGGCATTTGAGGAATTTGCATCTTGGCTTTTTTTGTTCACCTTATTTTCAGCAGTGGACAGGCTTAAATCTCTTTGTTCAAGGGTAAAGATCTTCTGTGTTCGCTCTTCTGTAGAGCCTGTGTCATGCTTGTCTTGTATAAAGGACAAACATGAGGCAAAGTAATTCAGAGTAATTTTGGTTAGTGATACAAAACCTGTAGTTTCTCTTCAGTCAGCCTGATTTGTTGCATTGGACATGGGACCTACCTAATAGTGAATACTCTGGGTTTGCATTTCCCCGGCTTTATAGCCCAAAATGCAAGACTGGATGTGTGGACTGGACTCTTACCAATTGTGATTAGGGTTATGTCATCTCCAAAGGCTTTTGATTTCTTTAATACATACTGTTTTCAGAAGCTTTTGAGAAGTGTGTGTTTGAATGTTGAGGAGTAATAGAAGGTTTTAAAGAAGCATAATATCACTCAAATAAAAAATATTTCCTATGAACCTTTCTGGTATATGAAAAATATCATATATATAGTGTATGATAAAATTGCTGTACAAGTATAGCAGTCTATACTAGTAAAACTCCCTCTGCTTTTGAGTGTTGCCCCAGCTTATTGACTAAGTAGTAGTTCTTTTCTATAGGTCTATTTTTTTTAAAAAAAACTGAATAGAGCAGCTTCCAAAGAGAAGGTGTACAAATTGTGCTGAGATATTTGTTGCCATAATAATTGTTTGATTCCCTGGGTTTATTTTTTGCCGAGTGACAAGCCCTTTAATGGGACTAGTGGATTTCGTATTCTACTTCAGAGCAACTAGCTACAAAAAATACTTTAAAGATGCATTGTGCTACTTTAACAGAACTGTTGGAAAGGGTTTATGTGCAAGTTTATTGCTGCTTAAATGGGCCAAATATTTAAGAAAGGGAAGAACAAATCTAGAAGGAGGGAGAATGAAATAGGTAAAAAGTATCTCATGTTAACTCATCACGTCTAAGCATTTAGAGGAGGATGTAGTTATGACATCAAGAATTAGGTTTTGTTGCCTCTGCAGATGTAATAAACTTCCTTGTTTCTTTCTAACTCATATTTCTATGGGGCAAAAATATTTTGTAAGGATTTTCCATTTCTAATGTACTTGCCTTGGCAAGACAATGTTGTAGACATGCTTTGGAAATTATTGATGATTGCCCGTACTTGAAGGCAAATAAAATCAAGATTATTACGCTCTTTAAACAGTTGAATACGTAGACTTGGAAGTTTCCTTTTTAAATCCCTGTAAACTCTGTGTAGCAAATGGAATCCATTGTTGTCTGTGTGTGAAAGACATTAAAAACAAAGGGACAACCTGATCTGCTTTATGCAAGAGTCTTGGTAACATGCTCTAAATGCTTAGAACAATAGTTTCGTTTTGGCCCTTCCTCTTTGAAGAGAAATGCAAGCTGCTAAAGCTTTGTCCATGGACTGGGATTTGCAGCAGTCTGGGGATATATGGAATAGTAAACCTTTTCTTTAATTTTTTTTTTTTCAACTAGCAAGGTAAATTTTATTCTTTCTGCAGTTTAGTGATGTCTGTATGAAAATTGTTCTACGACATACTTAGAAAACTGTAATTATAATGGACTTATATTTCATCCTAGTATGGTCAATTCTTGTTGCAATATTTTTTTTTTTCTTGCTTCCTGTAACTCTGTATGTATAGATAAACCA